CTGAAGTGAACGGGATAGTCAAATTCTGTAACAACTAAAAATAAATGAACACCAGGCCCATTATCTGGTACAGAGAGCTGGAAAAAGGAGAGCTAGGACATGTGATATCAGCAGGTCAAGGGAGAGGTGATCCTTCCCATCTGCTCGGCACTGGTGACACCACACACCTCCCCCAGTATGAGAGAGACGCAGACATACTGGATCAAGTCCAGCAAAGGGCCACAAAAATGGTGAAGGGACTGGAGTTATATAAGGAGAGGCTGAGCGAGCTGTGACTGGTCAGCCTAGGGAAGGGAAGGCTCAGGGGGATCTTACCAATGTGTATAAATACCTGAAGGGAGGGTGCAGAGAAGATGGAACCAGGGTCTTTTCAGTGGTGCCCAGTGACAGGACCAGAGGCAGTGGGCAAACACTGGAACAGGAGGTTCCCTCTGAACATCAGGAAACCTTTCCCTTTGTAAGGGTGACTAAGCTCTGGCACAGGTTGCCCAGGGAGGCTGTAGAGTCTCCGTCCTTGGAGATGCTTAAAAGCCATCTGGGCGTAGCTCTGGTTACCTGGGTCTGGGTGTCCCCGCTGGAGCAGGGGGGTTGGACCAGATGACCTTAGAGGGCCCTTCCAACTTCAGCTGTTCTGTGACGGGGTCTGGTAGAAGGCAATTAGGTTATCTGCTCCCTGAAAAACCCCTCAGAATAAAGTAGTCATCCTCTGTGTGAATTGTTACTGTGTTAACAGCTTGAGCAGATGTTCTTCAGAATTTAAAAATACAAATTATGGTCTCTAATAATTTATTGAAGGAAAATTTGTATCAGAATAGCAACATCAGAAAGATGTTTCCTTCAAAAGTAATTCTTAATAGGAGGCACTGCTTGGGTCAGTATGACATCAAGGTTATTAACTCTTCTAGGCGATGTCTTTTGCCAAAGTAAAATGCATTAATTGTATCTGTAAGTGCTATCCATTTCCTGCCTTTCCACAGATCTGCTTAGGGATTCCTCCTAAGTATTTCTGCTTCTTGACAGCTTCTCTTACAAAATATTTTTTGGGCTGCTGTTGCTTTCTGCCTACCTGTGACCGCACCTTACAGACGGTGTTCTGGTACAGGTTGGTGTGAACTGCCAGGATGAAGGGTAGAGACGTCCTTTGGGGTGTGGAGCTGGAGTGAAAATGATCTTCTGTGAAAACGGCATTGAAGGCTGGCGTGCTGCACAAGTATGTCATACTGAAACAAAAATTGCAAATTGCCTTTTTTTTTTCTTCTTTCACAGTCCGGATTCTTCTTACGAGACAATGACCAGCAAATGGCCGTCTGTCTGGGTGAAGATATCTTCCAGCTGGATTGGCATCGTGCTCTACGTGTGGACTCTGGTTGCTCCACTGGTTCTTACAAACCGTGACTTCGACTGAGCTGTGCTGCTCTCGAGGAAGGCTGTGCTGGCTTCACCGTGCCCTTGAAACACGCAGCGTTCCGGATAGCAGTGCAGTTGTAAATACGTGTGTGTGCGCGCGCGTGCACTATCCATGTAGTGAACACCCTGCTCTGTTCTGCATGATTACCTTGAATCATGTCTTTTGTCATTTCACTAAAGGACAACTTCTAGCTGAGCTCAGTGACAACTGCTATAATGGTGGTTTTCATAGGATTACTCCTAGACTGAGTGCTCCGGGAGCATTAGATGTAAGATCAGGACCTTTTGGAAGTAGGTTTTTTTGTTTCCCCTCAGTAGCATTAAATTTTTTGGAAAAAAAGTGCAAGTGTTTTAATTAGGGTGACAAAACAGTGTTAGATCAGGCTTTGCAAGCAAAGGAGGGGCTGCCTTCGATGATCCCTGTTGCCTTGGTTCCAAAGTAAGTCTGGAGCAAGCATTGTTAGACTCAAAATCGTGCGTGTTGGTTTCCTGGACATCTTGCAGTGTTTTGGCACTAACAGCCCGACCTTTTCCTGCCCGGAGGGCAGCAGTACCTTTGGCGGAGGTGATAAATGGGGGAACTCACACCCGGAGCTGCAGAGGAGCTGCTGTCCTTCTCGGTGCTGCGGGGCCAGTGTCCCACTGCAGACAGCAGGACGGACACCCTGGGGAAAAACATCCTGGTATCAGATGCTCAGAAGCATGTTTTTAAGGCATCTGTTTACAATGTGCATCTATGTATTATTATGACTATTTTTTTAAAGTAGTTTCAGTGGGATAGCTGTGCTGTAATTTATGGTTTGTGTGCCACTTTCTTTCTTGGCTAAGCTACAATCGCAGTTTGCAAGGAGCCGAGCGGTGAGAACTGTGTAAGCCCTTTAGAGGAACTTTCTGAGTATGGTGGTTAACCAGAAGGGGAGGAAAAGGAGCACTGAAATGGCAGTAACTAAAGAGGCTTGCTTTAACCGAGGCTTCAATAAAGGTCTTTCTTAATATATTTGGGGCTCTAAATTTTGAAATCTTTTAATGTATTACGGATTTTGCTTGTCCGTTGCCAGAGATGGACTTGAGCCTAGAAAGTCTAGGCATGAGGTAAGACATTATCCTGTTCGATTAAAATACTGTTGTAGTTCCTGTGCAGTTAGGAAATCTTGAATGCTTTTGTGCTTGCTGCTTTGTAATTGAAGTCGGTAAGCTGCATTATTTATATCTGCTACTTGCTGCTGCTCGAGTCCAGAGCAGCCTGACGGGGCGTGACCCTGGAGCCGTCAGCAGACATCATGCTGATCTGTTACCACAGTGTTTATACTGGTACTTCCTGTTGCTAATTATTCTCTAAGCTTTTATTTTAACTCTGCACCTAAACAATGACACTTACTGCGGAAGTCTGACATGTCGGTCAAACTTGAGATGGCAATGGAAGGATGAGTAAAGGCTTGTAATAATTTGGAATGTTGTTACCTTATTAATAAATAAATAAATTTGGATGAAGATGTCCTGTGACTCTTGATGTCTCGTACTGCTGCCAGAGGCGGGTAGCGTGGGGCTTTCCTGCTGTTCCTGGGCTGCTCTGTGGCACTTGTTGGCTGAGAAGCACCAGCGGCCGGTGCTGCAGAGCACCCCTGCGAGGCAGGGGGTTCCTGGGTTGGGGGGGATCACGTGTGACCCCCTGCGCCAATTTTCCGACAGTTCTCTGTGCCCTTTGCACCCATCTCTGAAAACATGAACATGCTTCGCACTTGCACTCCTGCTTCGTCGACTGCTGGTGCTGTGTGCTGCTGCACCTGGCTCTGCTACGCGTGGGTGACACCTGAGCTGCGTTGTAATGCAGCAGTTCCCGAGTCCTGCGACAAGTAACCAGTCACCGAACAGACAGCTGTGTCTGGATTTGCTCCTTGTACCAGGGGCTAGAGCACTCCTTTAAAAAAAAAACAAACAGACAAACCAAGGAAATTTTGAACACAATGCCAGAGTTGTGGAAGGTTTTTCCTGTTGCATGTGCAAAGTTACTAAAATCCAGTTTTCTCCCTTCAGTGGAGCTTCTCAGAACTCCCTGGCTCCAGCTTTGAGGGCAGAGGGAAGAAAACTTCTGTTTGGTTGTGGTTCAACTGTTCATACTGAATCAGGTCAGGGTGAGACGATGCAGGGAAGTGTCAACTGCCCTGTCACCTCATGTTGCAGAACCCCTCCGGCATTCACCTGTGCAACACCCCTACAGCAAGTTCACTGGAGTGGACACGGATGGTGTCAGTAAAAGCAACGATGGAAACATGTTTTGCATAGGGGTAGGGTGATGCCACGGGAGGGAAAGCTGTGGGGCTCTGCCACCACTTTCAGCAAGAAAACAGGAGAAAACAAGTCCTTTGTGTAATGCTAAAGGAAAACGCAGTTTGCTGCGTTAGCCGCTTGTTTTGGAGGCTTACAAAGCAAGTTTGAGATCACGAGGCTATTTCCCAGTAACTGCAGAGGAGCCGCCACCAGGGCACAGCCGCGGAGTCACCACAAACGCGCTGTCCGCTCCGGCCCCACAGTAAGAGACAGCTCGTGACAAGTATCACACTTAAGTAACATTTATTTTATCAGAGAGTAGATGGTCCAAGTTAAAAGCACTCATGCAGTTGAGGGGCCTGGCGCTGTACAGAGCTCTTCCCCGGTTTGTGCTATGTGTGAGCACTTCCACTCAGGTGAAAGTAAGGCAGAACCAAGAGTTAGCAAGGTACAGGCACTTTGTTCCCAGTCCGAGCAGGGAAAAAAAAAGCCTACATCAGGTTCTGGTCCCCCCCACCCCCAAAAAAGCCTCATGTTTGTTAAACAAAACATTGTAAAAAATAGAAAAAACCCAAGATACAGAAAGTCAGTGCTCCCTAACTGTACGCTACTAGTTTACATCATCATAGGTAAGACCAGAAGTATAAGAAACCATAAATCAAACCCTTGTTACCATTAACAGGGGTTTGGTTACCTGGGCAAGACCAAGCCTGTGGCAGCAGCGCAGTAACAGTCTGACTTGGTGTTGCCAACCGTGCCTAACGGCTCGTCTAACCACGCAGTTCAACAACTGCCTGCAGGAAGTAACACAGGGAAGGTATTTTTTAGATTCCACATTATCTGGTTACATAAAACAGTGATTTACAAAAAACTCATGTACCAAACAATATTCTAAATAAATAGTTCATCTTCGTGGCTATGTACAGAGTCCCCGCTCCATCAGTTATCCAAGAACGGCATGTCCATGTCCATGGGCGCGGGGGCAAGTTCACATAGATAGAACAGCGTGGCTTCGCTCGCTTCGGCCTCGGTCAGCGGCCCCAGCCGCACCAGTTTGCTCTGGGTGGGCTCGGGATCCAGGCTGCTCTCCAGGAGCTCGTCCACTTCCAGGGGTTTGTCAGCAGAGGAAGGAGTTCCAGCCGCCAAGGTCCCGCTCTCCATGTCGGTGCCCGGGTTCCCATCGAAGAACGCAAGGAGTGGGAACGCAGTGTACTGTATGAGCTGCTTATCTAAGGCAAAAGAAATTATCAAGACACTTTCAGTTCACATCTCGTTCTACACGCAGAAGGAAAAAAACAAAATCCAATCCACAGAATTTACTTAAAAGAGTAATTAATAAAAACCAATATAGGTGGGTTTTTTAAAAATGAGTGCTTTAAAGAACTGTTTCACTCATGTGTAACATCATTTGTGCAGATTCTCCTGCAAAAACATCAGTTTCTCTGCATCTGGTGCAGTGCCAAAAACCTAAAAAGCAAATACGTGTTTTGTTTTGGTTATTTGATTATCAGCGTGACACAAAACTAGACAAAGAGCAAATAACTGAGATGGTTTTTAGAACAATGCGTGTTCAACTGTTAAATTTTTTCAACAAAACACTACGACTTACCTAGTTTGGGCTTAGAAACTTGTGTTTCCTGTGAAGCCCCCGGACCACTGTTGTTCTTGGTAGTTTCTATTCCCTTTGTCTCCACCTGGAAACAAAAGCAAAATCGTAAGAACACGCTTAAAGCCTTTTCCAAAGCCACTACAATGCAGCTGACCAGCTATTAAAAAAAACATTTCAGTTTTTATTTGTAAAGGGATGCAGTGCTGTCAGCTACTCACACTGACAGACCGCGGCTGAGAAAACACAAAGTGGAACAGGCTGACTCCAGCACGAACCACGGCTACTGCTCGTACCTGAACAGCACAGTTTCCAAGAGCTCAACCCTGACCCTGACAAAGCGTGTACCGTGCGCCTGCGAGTACTGGAATCTTAGAGGACACAGAAGCCAAGAGACTGGTACAACGTACAGGTACTGGCCTCAAGGTAATACGAGTTTTAAAGGACACTGTTAATGACTGTGCTTTCCCCTTTTCTGTTTAAAAGCTAACAAACAGGGAATTCAGCTGCAGCCTTCCTATTCTTATGGAAGTCTTCAAAGCCAGAGCATGAAAAAAGTGCTTTTATACCAGTAACGAAAACAGCAAAGGATTAATAAAGTTTGCATCTCTCACTACTGTGTACATTGAGCAAGGATTTAAGACTTACTTTGGTATTAGTGATATGATCTGTGGGATTCATCTGCACGGAGCTTGTAAAAAGCTGAATAAGACAAAACACATCAAGTTTTAGGTATCTCAATGTTGCTATTAAGAATTCAAGAACATCACATCTGCACGTGTGAGAATGATCCCCGTAATTGATGTTTTCACCCTCTGTCAGGGTTAGAGTTTATTTACAGGGAGCTACCACTGTTGCAAAGAAAACCTAGCTCCGGGCGCAATGGTTTGGAATTCCATGAACCTCAGTCACAAAGGGAACAACTGTATTACCGCTAACTTTGACTAATACCGTTTGCTGCAGTCGTAAAGAACTGGTTCCTTCTTACGCTGCCGCGTGGAGAGTTCCGTGTACCCTACAGCAGAACACACCCTGATCGAGTCTGCAGGTGACGCCCAACGGAAGGAGTCACCAACACGCGGGAGAGCAGAGCTGCTGCTAAGAGGGGTCTCAAGGAAGCGGGCAAGGGGCCAGCAGGCCCTCCCTCGCGACCAGTGGCCAAACGCATTTAGGGCACAATAAGCTCATGTGCTGGCGCGGGTCAGGGACCAGAGGGAGAGGGAGCAGCTCCAAAGAGGCACCGGGGCGTCGCGGCAGACAACAGCCCGGCAGGAGGCGGCAGCAGGGCCCTGCTGCAGGAGGGATGCTCTGCCCCAGGCAAGCCAGGCAGTGGGCGCTGGAAGCAGTCATTCCTCCCTGCACAGCACCTGAGGCCACTCGGGGAAGAGTGCCCAGCTCTAGGCCTCCCAGTACAAGAGTCTTCAAACTAGAGGGTGTCCGGAGGGCCACAGATGTTTGGGGGCTAATGACATATGAGAGGCTGAGGGAGCTTGGCCAGTCTTGCCTGGAAAGGGCATACAGGGGAGGATAACTGCACTTTTCCACTGCTTCTAAAGGAGCGTCACAGAGAAGACAAACTCCACGGAGGTGAACAAAGGACAAGAGGCAAGAGCTACAAGCTGCAGCAGGGAAAACTGTGCCTGACATAAGGAAATCCTTCACAAAGACGACTGAAGCACTGGAACAGGCACCTGAGAGGCTGTGGAATCTCCCATCTTTGGAGATTTCAGAGTTGGAGTCAACAAGGTCCTAAGCAACACGACGCAGCTTTCAAGCTGGCCCTGCTTTGGGCAAGGGGGCCGGACTAAATGACACGCACAGGTCCCTTCCAACCCAAGCATTCCACTAGACATACAGCCGAAGAGAAACCGACAACATGTATGTACTCCTAACAAATAACCTGCAATGGCAGCAAAGCCTGTAAAATAAGTGCCAAGAGCCTTTTTAACCCCAGTTCATCGAGAAGACCACAGAGGATGTGCTGAGCCACTTGATAGCAGGAGTATTAATCTAATTGGTGTCTGAGTTCATATAGCAACCAATTCAAGCATTATTTCACTGAGAAAGCCCTTCTTCAATCAAAAACCTAAGCATTCACCTGAGCAGTGGTGTAGTGCTGAGAATTATACCAGTGCCCCAGAAACACACGTTCACAGATATTTATAACCTTCCTTTTTTAAAGGGAAGGCAAAACCCCCACATCTGTTGTGTTTTAAATGCTTTGAACAGCAACAACCCACACAAATACTTTCTGTAGTGTATTACCAAAATACTTAAAATAAACAGTGAAAATTACATTGACCAGGAGATCGGGATCTATGCTGAACTGTCGTCCTGATAACATAGCCTGGAAGTCCTCTAAACTGCAGTCAATACTGTCAAGGTAATCCAGAAGTTCAACTCTAGAAGGCAAACAATATTTTATTGCTGTATGCTTTAACAAAAGGAAGAGAAATCCACAATTAAGCTTTACACAGATGTACTACATGCATCTAAAAGTCTTCATCAGAACTAGAATGAACTAAGTCGTTCATCAGAAACAACCTCTGGAAAAAAATGAAAACTTGAGAGAAAGCAACAGGTATCGCATCCACCTAACACTACGACATGACATGAGCAGAGGCGCGATTCCTGCATCGAGGCAGCCCTAGTGAGTCCCATCTGCCCGCAAGAGCCACACAGACAAACTCCGCCAGTTTAAACAACGGTACCCACAAGATGACGCTGTCAGATCATGCACCCCAACTCACTCACTCCACAATGAATATCAGAGGTTCCGTCTTAAAATACTTCAAATCAAAGGCTCTTTAGAAACTGGCTAGGCTAAAGGTGACCTACGAATCTGAAGTCCTCAACAGAAACTACTGTTCAGTTCTTTTCACTTCAGTCAAACCGTCAGTTCTAATACTTGAAAAAACAGAAGACCAGGCTACTCACTTTCCAAGGAGATTTATATTCTGTGAAATTACTCCGTTCTCATTGAGTATGGAATCCATCATTGAGACCGGATCTTCCGCAGTTAGAGCTGACTGGTTATTCAGCTGTACAGCACTTGACATGAGTGGGCTTGTACTTTCACTGACAGGGCTCAGGGGGCTGTTAGCCGGGACAGCAACCGATTCTGTGCTTTTGTCCCCTTGAATTACAGGGGTGTATTCTTCTTCATTATCATCTTCCACTATCACAATATCAGGAGAATGACTACAGCTGTAATAGGAGACAAACGAATTGAAGCATGTCACACACACATTTAAATTGGTACTATCCCACAGGTCTAGTTACTTCTCATTTTTGTCAAGCTACTAGAAGGAAATAAACTTTTCTACTGCTTTTTAATATGAAACATAGCAAGATACTCTGAATATCTATTTTCCATCGATATGGTGCTGTAATGTTCAGTACAGTTAACATAACTCAGCAAGCAGACCCTGTTGCGCTAGACCACAATAACAACTACTAAAAAGACGTAGGAACACTGATATTTTTTGCATTAGAACAACTATAAGCTCGCATATAAATCTAAAGTATGTACAAAGTGGACCACAGCATACTAGGCCACCAAACTAGACAAGATAATACATATTTCGTATCTTTCCTGTTGAACGGAATCGGCTCTGAAGCATCCATAACATAAAGGACCTCGGTCGACAGTGCTGTAGTTAACTCATCTTTTTGTGGTGGTTTGGTGTCTGGCAGGGTTTTGGTAGGAGTTTTGGTAGTGGGGGAGGGGGCTACAGAGGTGGCCAGGCCAATGGGTGCACCTCCACGAATAACTCTAAGAGTGAAAGAACCTGTTGAGCGAGCTCTTTGTTCGTGTTTCTTTGTTGGTGAGCAGAGGAGAGGAGGGGGATGCAAGAGAGACAGCCCTGCGGACACCCAGGAGCAGTGAGGAAGGAGAGGGGGAGGTGTGCCG